GGGACACCCCGGCCCCTGGGGGAGGACGGGGATGTCACGGGCTGGGGGGGGGGGGGGGGACACACACCGGCCACCTCTCGGGGGCCATCGCCCACCTGAGTCTGGGGGCTGCCGGTTCCTTTCGATCTTTCGGATGTCATCGAGGGTGACGCCGTCCTCGCTGAAGAGGCCCCCGTGCATGATCTGGGACGGAAGCCACCTTGGTACAGGGACAACGGGGACAACGGGGACAGCGGGGACCCCCCCACTTGCAACAGGGAGCACCCACAAACCCCTGGGGACGTGGGTGGCGGGGGACAGGGACCACCGTGACTCACTGGGGACGGCGGGGACCCCCCCAGCCAAACCCCGCCAGGGACAGGGATCGCCCCGGTTCCATGGGGACGGAGGTGGTGGGGACCCCCCCCCCAGGGAAACCCCAGGCATGGGGACATCCCGGGGACAGGGCTGGGGACAGGGAGGGGACGGTCAGGGTGTCCCCTCACCAGGACTTTGCCGTTGATGCACTGGGCCAGCGGCAACCACTCGAAAACTTCGCTGAAGAGGGCGAACATCTGCGCCGTGTACTTGGCCTTCACCTCCCCCTCGAAACCGTAGATCTGGTTCATGTTGTCCGTCTCGTGGTTCCCTGCGGGGACACGGTGGCACTGCCAGGCGCGGGGACAGGGGGACAAAGCCCCGAGGACGTGAGATGGGCAGGGAACGAGGCTCCCGTCAACCAGGACGAGGCACAAGGTGCCACAGCCCGCAGCAGGGGACACGGGGACGCAGGACGTGGCCCCAAAACGAAGGAGAAGGGACACAGCCCCGCGACCCGGTCCCACGCCTGGGGACAAGGTGACACGAGATGATGCCCCACGACTGGGGACAAGGGACAGGGCCCCACAACTTGAGGGGACGAGGCCTCGTCACCGGCGGTGGCCGCGTTACCTCGGAGCAGGTGGAAGTGATCGGGGTAGAGAAGCTTGAAGCCGAAGAGCGTGAGGATGACCTCGACCGAGAAGGAGCCGCGATCCACGAAGTCCCCGTTGAATATCTGTGGCCGGTTGAGGAAAACGGCTCCCCCGCTGTCCCCGTCCCCTCGTGCCACCCGTCCCCACATTTGTCCCCACCGCGGAGGGCGGGAGGTGACACCCCGGGGTGGGGACGGCTCAAGGCCGTTCCCTCCTACGGGGATACGTAAGGGTTTGACTCGGAGGGCAGCCCGTTGAGCTCGAA